ATCCTTAAATAATTATCCTGAATTTCAGTGATTCGTTAATTAATTTATAATAAAAGTACAAATCATTCAGAATGCATGCGATCTGCACAGACATGCAAATCGGATTACATCGACTGCGACGAACGTGTGCACTTGACTTAAGATTTGCCTTTGCGACGCCTCTGACTAGCCAGCTCCGGTTCCCGGTTTTCCTTTCTTTTCCATAGCAATCTCCGTGAGAAAATGAACCGGTATCCCTCAACTCATCGGCCAAACGAGCAAACTTTTCCATTCCTCGTCGTTGATCCGTGATCATTGGGCCACGAGGGACCTCTCAGGCGCAGGATATTAAAAGTAGATTAAGATCTTCAGCTTCCGACCCTAGATTCGATTCGCTCCCATGGATGGTGCATTATTCGATCGTTATCGAGTACGAAGAAATCTTATATAGGAATATCTTCGGGCATCTCGATCGGAAAAATCGTCTATCATTATATCGTTTAGTTTCGTCCAATGAGAAGAAGAAATAATGAGAGTATACATTCGAAGGCTATGAAACACGGTAGGTATTGAAAATAAATAATTCTTGGATGGTTGATAATATAAAAGAGTTGGAGCCGAAGGAGACATAAAAATAGGCCGACAGATCTATTCGCATAGCCCGAGTTTAAACACGTGGTGTGGTATTTGCTGATAAGGCCAGGGTAGATTCTTCCGAAGCATTACGGCGATATATCGAGCCGTGTCTGCTGAATTTATTCACCAGCGGTTACGAGCTGAAAATGTGCAAGTCTACGTTTGTTGGCGTCACGCTGTAAAGTGGCATTTATTTGATAATAAATTTTGTTAGGCAGCATGGCAAGAATAAAACGCCCTAACTCTTGCCTGATGGTGATTCCGTTTCGTTCCGGGAACTTTAATTCACTGTTTACCTGTTCGCAGCTTTTTAGCCCGGTTGCCAAGCGGCAAGCAGCTCGCAACTTTTAATTGCGTTTTCAGAGCTTTTTGTCGGTGACCAGCGCCGGGTAAGTGAAAATTAAACTATCCGCACGATTTTCGAATTGGTCATTATACTCCTTCCTCGGTGTTTCTTTTTTTTAAGCTGCAAAGAGCGAAACGATTGCTACTTATCGAGGATTATTCCTCAAAAGGTCGACTTTAAAAAGTCGCTGGAATTAGGAGAAAAATCAACGACCTCGCTGCCGGCCGGCCGGTGGATCGTTCGCGGCAATTTGTTTCACTTTGCGGCCGGTTTCCACCCACGCCCTATATCCGACTCGTTTTCGATGCTCGTTTAATCTTCGCGACCCAACTTGGATCCGACCATTAGTTCCGCATAGTCCTTTCTCAGCGACCGTTCTTCCGTTTCGCGTTCCTCTCGCTACACCAGCACGGTCCGTGGCTTCGAACTTTGCCGATTATCCGCCGAACTACGACGAAATTCTTTTCGTTTCCCCGATTGCAGAGTCAAAAGTATATTTCCGGGAGAAATTCCGCTGGCGAAATCTGCATTTAAATCGACGGAATCGTGAATTAATAAGAACACAATATACTCCGCGTTTTCGACAGTAATTACTGTTACGACCATGTTTGAAATCGATGCTTACGGGCATGATAGCCAGCGGTTGCGTTTAATAAACCGTAATATGTACTCGCTGGAAATCCATCTCTGCGTCACGATTTTTCCTGTATTTTTACATCAGAAGTTACGGACAGCTGACGGCAATTCTCGATCGCAATGCAAAAAGATCCCACGTAGCAATTAAATATATTAGATCTACCGGAAAATTCTGTCAGTTTCTTTCACAACAAATTTCGACACGTAAGCATATGTTTATTAAGCGCACGTGTGCCTCTCTATTTTTAACACTTAATCTATACATACTGACGTAGCAAATTAACTAAAACAAAGTTGATTCACGTTAGTCTTATGTGTGAAGCCATAGTGTACCCATGGCTACTGATAAGCTTCATTTACGCCACTGTATTTTATACGAATTTCAACAAGGAACAAATGCTACAGAAACATGTAAAATTTTATTGAAAGTGTTTGGTGAAGGTACAGTTTCTGATAGGACATGCAGAAGATGGTTGAAAAAATTTTTTGAAGGGAAAAAAATTGAAAAATGAAGAAGATATGAAACAAGCACTAGTTGAATTTTTCGCATCAAAAGATAAAACATTTTTGAAAAATGGGATATACAAATTGCCCTCGCGCTGGCAAGAAATCATTAATAATAATGGCAATTATATTATTTAATAAAGTTTATTGATGATAAGAAAAATTTGTATTTCGGTTTATTCCAAAAACGGACAGAATTTTCCGGTAGACCTAATATTTCATTGATAACGAGAATCGCTTCTACATTTCGTAGTGATTCGCATAAATCCCGAGCGAAACGAATCGGTTCTCAATAAGACGCGGTTTTCCGGCTGAATGAACGCCCGGGTAAAAAATGCATTGATTCGGCGGCCGGACGGGACGGTAATTGCCAAGGGAGAGGAACGAGCGTGTAACGTAAACGTATAGGCGTTCCGCGGTCGGACGATTCTTATGATCTACGAGTAATTTCCCAAAGTGGACCCCCGGCTTCTTCCTTGGCGCAAACGTTCCCACAGAAATATTGCATACGCGGCCGAAAATCTTAGATAAACAGCCACGCACGTGTCTATGTGTACCCGTCCGCATTTGCATCTTCTCTGTATCCTGCGCTAAAGCTTGACCCGGATCATGAAAATTATTTGAAAGCGTAATTTCGAAAGTAACACACGCGTATATGTATATCACTGACCTCGTTCCGCGACGTCATCCCGGGATATAGAATTATTCCCGGAAAGGATGCACCGAGATCCTCGGCCAGTGTTCGATGAAATTATACAAGCAGATGAATAATAATAATCGAATCACGTCCAGTGACATTATTCTCGATTCTTCGTTTAATTCGTATTTGATTCATAAAAGAAATATCGAATGCTCGTTGATTAAAAAAGAAGAGAGCATCGCGCCAGGATAACGTATGTATTTATGGGATGCTCGAAGATGGGAGCGTGACGGAGGAAATACAACGCGGCACCGGAATCGATAAGTTTGCAACCGTGGGGGGATCGCAGTTGCATTTGCAATCACGACACCAGAACGTGGTACGATTTCTCGTCCGCGGCACTTTCGTTTCTCGTGCGGGGCTGTCGGAACGGGTTTCCGGGAAGGCAGCCATCAGCGGTTGAAGCTGACACACGAAATCGGACGATGAGCTTTTGTTCCATCGGCCACGGATCGATTTCCCGTCTGCTCCGCTATAATTTATTTAGAGCTGACCCGTTCACCGCTACTGGCAATTAGCGGGAACCATATTCAGATCTTGATATCCAAAGAAACTAGAGCTGCTGCTGCTGGTGCTGCTGCTGGTGCTGCTTCCTATCTCGTCTCGTCGACTCATTAACCCATTTCCATCACGCCAGCCACAAAAATTACTACAATTTCTAATACAATATTTCATATAACAGTTAATTTAATATCCGACGTGGAAATTACTGTCCCTGAGTGATCATCGTATTAATACAATTTTCGCTGAAAATATTTCATACGACAGTTAATTTAATATCGAAATTACGAAGGCCCCCGAGTGATCGTCGATTAATTAACTCGCTAACTTTCCTTCGTCGAAACTTGAAAAACAAGACAGTAACTTGCCTAACTTTCGAGTCGTGCCTCCCGCCCCCATCGTATATATCTCTACCGTTTGTTCTGTTATTATTTTTATTCCAAAAGTTTACACTTACCATTCGCGTACGGTTCTGTTCACAATAAGGCGGTCGGAGAATTTCAGGTCAAACTTTCGAAGGCAAAGAAGACTCCATAAAGCGGAAGTTAAAGGAGAAGTCGTAGTTTCTTCGAACCGTTCGGTCGGTTCGATGGTTACGCTCCTAGCTAGGGTAAAGTACGTATGTATTTGACGAGCGAGGCGTGCGTCTAAACTTTACGACGGGACCGTTTCCCCGCTGTTGCGCAAGATTTTCGTATTTTTCTTTTTTTTTTTTTTTTTTCGTCGCCTTTCATAAGACGGAGCAGCTCGTACGTGCAAAAAATGGAAGAAATGGAATTAGGAGCGAGATGGAGCGGAATTACGGGTAACCGAGGACCGGGGAACGCGTGTAAATTTCATGGTGCGCGCCGTGAAACGAGCCGGGAATAATAAAGCGTCTCATTCCTTTATAAACAAATCTTCATATCGTCGTTGTTTCCGCGGACAAAAAAAGAGTAAAGGTAACTTAAGAGTCGCTAAATCAAGGGGCCTTTATAGAGGCAAGAAAGCACGGCACAATAACTCGGAATAAGGTTCGAGCTTTACGACAACTCGTATGAAAAACGGACACACAATACCCGGGTCCGCGTAATTTAAATGAGAGAACGCCGTGTTTCTGAATAAACTCGTCTAGCTGAATATTTCGATTTAAAATTCACCCTTTGTTCCCGCTGGACGAGAAGAAAAGACGCTGCCGTCATCAGTTTTAACGAACATCTCGGCCAAACATGCTCTACACGCCGCGATTCGTGCCTTTTCGAAACCAACAATTATACAAAAGCTATTCTTCAAATCTAACAATTTACCTCTGCGCTTTCTCGTTCGATACTATTTTATGTACATATTTTAATCCAGAATTCGGAAACAATCGCGGAACTTCGTTCAATCTGAACCGAAGGGATGGTGGAAGTACATAAGATATGTCCTTCCGGTGGTGCAAATAATTCATCCTAATATTTTTTTATTTATTAATTAATATTTATTATTATTGAGAAATATTTCTTCTCTAATTCAGAATTTTTAAATTACTCCTTCCCTTCTTTTAATAAGAAATATAATTGATGAATAAGACAATATCGTTACAAAGAAGGGCATGAACTTAACGAGCTGCGTAATAGTACACCATAAGGCAAGGTACAATAAATTAGTTTCTAGGATATTCAATTTTAATAGCTAGACGGAGGGGATTCTTTCTCTACTCACCTAGTTGGCTCCTCTTCCCGTCTCATTGGCCACGTTCCTTGTCTCTGAGAAAGTCAACTAAAGATTCTTCGACAAGTTCCCTCTTGGCCAGAAGAAAATTCCGCGCACGAAGGAGCGATAAAACAAAGAACAGCCCGGGACAATGGTAACTAATTTCAATGGGCCGTCAAATGCGGGTGAATACAATTCATTACCAATAACAATTGTCCATTAATCTCGTCGAGAGTTTATTGAAAGCGTGCAATATTGCGTCGACTATTCCGACGGACCAATAGAGAAATTTTAATCTTAAAACCATTTAAAAAACATTCCTATTCTGGCGCTTTTATCAAACTCTTTCCGTCCCCTAACGCCGTCCGTGAATAAATTGAATATAATAATGGGAATAGCTAAAGCTCAGGGCAATGTCATTTCCATTTGAATTAACTATTCATACTTACTCTTTACAATTAAATAAATCTTTTCAGCTGCTAAAAAAGAGAAACGATAAATAACTCGAATCGTGAATGTAAACATGTTTGATTTTGCAAAGAATTATTATAAAACTTGTTTCCAGATTTCTGTTTCTCGTAACCTCGTTTATACTGGGGATGTTAATCGGCCAAGGAAGAACCGTGAGTTCTACAAATATTGAGGGATCGCGGTTTTGTTAATAGATTGAAAAAACGTGAACGCAATGTTTCACGAACGAAATTAGTGACGCATTGTCGCACAACGCATTGTATCTGATTAACGCCCGCCTTATTCAAGCTGCTTTGCGGATCGATTTCAGCCTCACTGACGATCGTTTCCGATATTCTACGATTCCGTAATCAGACTTTTATCAATCACATCTGATCACTTACCAATTTCCTTCACACGTGCCGTTGATTCAAGTAAAAATTGTCGATTGTTAAGAAACTAGATAGAGAAATCTCGAGTGGGGTTGTCGAACCGTGGCAAAGGGTCGATCGCGTTTAAGGTCGGTCTCATTAAATCGTGAAAGCGTCCAATTGATTTGCACACGCGATGCCAAAACAGTGTTTCTAACTGGATACGTAATCACAAGGGAGATCCATACGTCCGATCCGATTGTCAGTCACAGTAAACGTCACTTCCGTTAAAAACATCGGATCGGTTTTCGATCCGAGCCTACAGACCGATGTTTGGATCTTGCTAATTGGCCGGCCGATTTGGAAGGCATTAAACCAGCGATATTCTGTTTCTGCTTTTATTTGTTATATGCTGGATCGGTACAACAAAACGTTGTGTAACAATAAAACAATGGTAACAAGAAATCTTTGGTAATGGGCCCGCTAACGACTGCCAAGCGTTTAATGGTGGTGCTCGTCGTGGTGGTCGTTACCATCGCTGTTGATGACATGCGCGAAGAATCCGTCCTTTCCGGCACGGTACTTCACCGTTCGGACGTTACCGCCGGGCTCTTTAACCGTGTACTCGCCGACCACCTCATCCCCTGGAACAAAAAAAGATAACCAGTAATTAACAAGTCCTAACATCATTAAGATGGATAAATAATTTTCCGCTCGATCCTACGTATAAGAGAAGAAATTCCATGCCGTTTACTCGGCCAGAATTTACATAATTTTTCTCAAAAGGAAAATTAAAATTTATGCAAACAATTGGTCCTGTTAGCACCGTAATAGATCGATCAGCAACGCGCTTCCTATACAGTGTGGGTGTTTCATCATGGAAAATATCTTGAAAATTGCCAATTAACCAATACAGAATTTATATTATTTTCTAATAGCTATATTTTTACGTCATATGTTGCGTTCGTGACGTGAATAAATGGCACGCCAGTGAAGACTGGTCTTTGAATGAACGTGAGTTGGTTGGAAAACCAAGGAAGATCCATAGTACGTAATTATTCCTGCCGCATAATGTTACGATTTAGTTAAGTCTATTAGGAAGACGAGTCTAATTTAACGGCAGACTCTCGGGTTTGAAGTAGACGTGTCGGTGGCGAGTCGATGCTCCCACAGTTTAAAACTCGTCGTTCTCCATCGATTTTGATAATCGCAGTTATTCCAAGGAGTAACTCTCCGCGGCGCCTATTAAACTACCTGTCGGGAACAAGCCCCTCGACTTTTCGACATTCGAACGTCGTTAAACTAGGACACCGTCTGGTTTTAATTAGGCCGATTACGTAGAAACGAAAGTGGAAGACCCCGTGGATCCTTGAGATGTTCAAAAGAGTTCGCGAGCGAAGACGGCGTTTCGCGACGCTTCTCGAGGATCGCTGTAAACTAATTAAAAGATGCCACTCGAGGATTACTTTGCGTCAAAGGACCAGTTTCAGGCAAAGGGCGCAGTCTACGTTTGTACTCCAGTGGCGATGGATAATCCACTGGACAAAAGTCACGCTAACATTTCTAAAACCGTGTATCCACTGCTCTTCTACTCTCGTATCATAACTATTTTCATTTAGCCTAATCAGATTTTCTCTTATTCAATGATTGTTACTAATTTTGAATATTTCCTACACTTATAGATAATAAATACGTAAGAGTAGACTGAATATACGAAGGTATGAAACACATCGCCAGTCGAAAGACGTAACTTCGTTACGTTCTCATATCCCGCAGTGATGATGGGAAAGAAAGGATCAAGCTTACCGTCCCTGTGCTCCTTCTGGCCATGATAGTCGCCGGTGTGATGGTCCTCGACGCCGTACGAGAACTCGTAGTGCGGATGGGCGACGTAATCGTGGTGATGGTGGCCGTGCTTGTCGTGCCAAGTCACTTCCTGACCGTGGCCTATCACCGGTCCGTGGAAATGTTGGAAGGAATGCGCGTGGCCGGCCTCCACTTTACCGTCGAATAAAACCGACAGCGCCAGGATCGTCGCGATCAGCTACCGAGAAAATATTTTCATTTTTTTTTTTTTTTCCGAAAATTCAAAATGCATGCCTGCACTTTAAGTAATGACGCGAAGTTCACCGGAACGAATTTCGTGGGGCCGGAGTAATGGGAATGGAAAGTTGGAGCGTGCTCGAAAGAAGCGAAACGTTTCCATCTTGAAAAGAATTTCCAATTTACGAAGTGATTAACCGATGTCACGTGGAGAATCGATAGAACTCTCGGCGGACCGGGACAGAATGATTCTGTTAGCACGGCGCGCGACGGTGGCGGCGTCTCGACCGATAATTAAATGGTACGAAACGATTGATCGATCGGGGTCACTTAAAAACTTGCCTACACATCACGCGGCAAATGAAGAATGGTCAATCGCGTGATGTACACTCACTTTAAACGCCATACTAGCAGGACGCGTATCCCCGGGACGAATCGATACCGAATGGCCCGGCCCGGCTGCGATTGTTCCTTTTATAGGTCCACTTTAAAAGTTTCCCTTTGCTTAATCCTTCTTTGGATCCATGCCCGGAACTTGGCCGGCGCAGACGTTGCAAAACACAATTATTCAAGCGGTCCCGGGTCCGCAAAAAGCGTCGCTCGGTGCTCGGTCGAGCGAGCATTAGCCAATCCCCGGGCGCTAATGGAGTTGGGAAAGGTGGCGAAAAAATGGGACGCAGGGAAAAGAAATTTTCCCCGGAGCTGGTGACACACGCGTCCATCGCCTCGCCGTCACGCACGATGGATCCGGCAGATCGTGTTACCGCGAGTTTTGACTTTCTTTCTCGCCTCTCCCTTCTGCACGCTCCATTTCGCCCAAAACTCTGTCTTACGTTGGAAACTGTTTAGAAAACGCGATTACCGTAACTCCACCGACGTCGTCGCGTTCCCGGAACGCTTCTTTCCTTCGGTGAAGTGTTCGCTCGCAACACGTGTCTCCATAAATGCAAACGAGCCGGGTTCTGCTTGCGACGTGCTTTCACGTACAGGCTAAGGTTACGTCTTCGTACGAATCAAATCTGTTACTACCTCGTTTCTTACGATTCCCAATGTGCTCGTCGCGTTATAACGGGAACAATCATTATCGCGTCATATCGTTTCTAAAAACTGTAGATCCGACGCTTTCTCCGTGGACGATATCGATAAAACGGTCCAAGCATTTTTGATTTCCTCCAACGTTATTAACAAAAACCACGGGATATCATTTGGTTTATCGCGGAATAAAACCGGCGAGAGAAGGATTTCTGGCACAGGCTGTGCTGGAGCTGCGGAAGTGCTCGAAGAGGCGCTCGGGTTTTGAGTTATGACACTTTTTGAGTCGAAGAGTCGCATTGTGAGCGGTGTCCGGGTCCGGCGTAATATCCTCGATCTCAGGGTCGGCCCGGCGATAAATCTGCCTTAAATAAGATTTGCCAACGACGTTCCAGCGAGCTAAAAGGAATCCGAGAACGATTCCACGTCGTCCCCTGACTGATTAGTCATTTTCGCCCCGGGGCTCGATCGAATCCGTCGAGATTGCACGAATGTTTACCCGGCGTACGCGCCGCTCCAGTTTCTAATTTCCCTCCCCGATGAACTATTTTTTTTTTTTTAATATCTCAAGTCTGTACTAGAATTTTTCACGCAGGGACTCGGGCTGATCGCTATGCGGCGCACGCGTGTGACGTTAATTGAATCTATTTTAAACCCAGGAGTTTGCTGAATCTCCGATGTTCATGAGATTGAAAAGTATTTTTAATGACTCCCGCGGTAGCGTGGCTGGAAATCTGCTACACGGTCCAACTATTTCAATTAACCGAGGTCTATCGAAGTTCGATTCCCACCCTAATCGTATGCTCGTCGATGGATCCTTGACCAGTCCCTGTTCCACGACAAGATCAATATGACCCGATATTAATTAATATTCGCGATCGGCCACTCGAGCTCGACTCGAGAGGCTCGCCTCGTGATTTTGAGAAAACTCGAGAGTCTGATCGTCCTTCGGTTCGAACCTTCGGCGTAAAACGCTGGCAAGCAAAATACAAAGAAGCAGGGATCGAGCAACGCAGACATAAGATTTCCAGGCAATATCGCGACGGGGAAAAGCGCGTAGAAAGGAAAATGAGTGAAAGCCGCGAGATTGATGTCGTTTTCATTCCCATCGACGTGCCTCCTAGACCTTCCGTAGCTGCCGGTCGCGGCATCGTCGGGACAGATTCCAAGGAGATAACTTTAACCGGATAAAGACGAATAGTTTTGTTTGCCGGCGATTCTCGCGGTGCACCCAACCGCCTCGGTCGACGTTCCGCTTCTTTCGACCCCTCAGACAGGGACGACTGGGTCGCGCTTCCTAGGGGCGTTTTATACGACCGCCCCTCGTTTATAGGTCACGATCTATTCCCTGGCTCGGGAACGGAGGCGGCACGCTATCCTCCAGAATTCCTCCTTGACCTCCATCTTGCGGCTTGGAATCCCAAAACAACAGAGACACCCTCGCGGCTCATCCATCCTACGGTTCCCGCAACCGCGAGAGCGTTTAGCAAACTCTACCGACTTTCGTTACTGTCACGATCGCGATAAACCTTACCGAAATGTTAATCTACGTCGCTGCCAACTTTATCAGTGAAATTACTTAAAACGTTCAATTAACCAGCACGCTAATTGCTTTCCCATCCCTCCTGGAGGATCGCTAATTACTTTGTAATTCCATTCGTTCCCTGGCAAACGGATTTTTGGATAGATCAGATTTTCAGTCGAGGGATCCGCTCGCCGTGCCGAGGATCGAATCGATGATCCAAGAATTGAACGCATCCGGCAGCGGGAGCAACAAGAATTTTTAGGGTCTCGAACCAATCGCGGACCTGGATACATTCCAGAGTATCCGCTTTACACGCGAGCCTTCTATCCGACACAGTTTACGGATTCTGGACCGCTACGATATCGGCCGTTCGCTAACGAGCTGAAGCGTTTTCCAGGTCCTTCGCTAATTTTCTAAGCGCTCCGATTACAGGTTGATAGCTGGCGCCTGCCCGGGTCACGCCCGTGCCGTCGGGTTAATTGGTTTTCATGCCGTCGCTGGAGTTACGGATACCCAACCCCGACTCGGATTATCGTTCACTGTAAACAGTGCGGTTTCGCCCGCGATCCGTAGAAGAAGAGGTCAGACACTAACCTACCTGCTGGCCTTCGTTCCGGAAGAAGTATCCAAACCGAAGGATTTCATTTCTCCGTGTTTGCCTCGGAAATCGAACACGGGAATCGCGATCAGACTCCTTGGGAAATCGTTCGTCCTTCATTTCGGTCACGAATTCATTCGGGTTGCGCGGAACAAACGAGGCAAATTGTTTCACACGATCATCATGAAAATTCTGACGTAATGAATGATAAACTGTTCTCAGGTTGTTCCGTGTTCGCGCGTATCGTCTTTAAAGTGCATCGTCGTCGTCGTAGCTGCTGTAACTCGGGGTGGCTGATGAAAGGTACATATGTATGTATGAAGGAGCTAAGCCGCACCCTCTGCTAGTCGAGTTATATACTTGTTGGATCCCTGCCGCCGTTGCTCTGATCCCTCGATGAGCAGGCCGGTTACCAGATGCGAGGCAAACTTTCGTTTGATCAGAAAGCGAATTATCGGCAAAGTTTGTTCTCATTAAAATAAAATCAATGCACGTTCGGTACAGCAGATTCTCGATTTCATGCGAGTAATTAACAAAGTAGTTGTAAAACTGATTACACACCGAGGTAGGCAAGGAGTACGTAAACCCACCGGTTCAGGCAACCATAAACGTCTCCGTGCTCGTAATAAATCAGCCATCGACCCTCTCTCTCTTTCTCCCCCCTGATGAATCTATTCAATGTTGTCTTCAAGATTGCCAAGGGTTAAACGATGCAAGAATTCGAAGGTATAGCTTGGGACAATGATTCCTGTATTTTCTACGAGAAAAGTCGTATATAATTTTCTTCTATTCATAGTTCAGAAGTACGAATACACAGAATAATAACATAAATGCATAATTACACATCGTTTTGAAATAATACCAAAACTGTATACAAAGGTATTAAATTAGCTGAACTACAACAATTCGATTTTAATAAAGACTACCTCTGTGACCTTTTCGACTTTATTGGAACCCACATGCCAGTGAACCTGAGCCGAACAACACGTTATACAAACCGGTACAGCATCAAATTAAACGTAAATTGACAATTTCCCAATATACAGTTTAGAACAATCGATTTTTCCAAGGAGTTGCGAGATCAAATTATGAAACCCTCGTATCGAAGGGGTTGAAATAGTAGCTCCCGGACACTGTACAGGCACCGAGATGACGACACGAGGGAAGCACGATCCGTCCGGCAACGTCGTCGGTGTAATTCGAACTATCCAGCGGGCGAGCGTTGACCAAACTACCTGGCAGTGGCTTACACCGAGTTTCGTCACTGGAGAGCTAGGAGCAGGGTGTAGCCGCGATCTGTGGCTGGTGCAAGTGGTCCTGGAGGTGGCGACCCGCGCTCTCACCCCCAATTCATATGCAAATGCAAAAGCGGCCGACCTCCGAGCATTGTTCGCCCCTCCGGGGATCCCCGGTGTCCCCGGGCTTGACTTACTACACGAATTTCCGGAAAACTCTGACCGCGAGGCGCCCGTGTAATTGATACTCCGCCGCGGTCTTACTTCCTCGAACGGCTGCATCCTTTCCCCCTCGAGGGGAAAAAAGAAAGGAAGGAGGTGCATGATCGCCTTTGTCGTCCCGGCGCCGGTCATTGTCGCTCTCTTGCACCGTTTAATGGCGCTTTAGCTCCCCTTTGAACAAGTTTCCGGCAGCCCTATGCAGAGAAGTTTTCGGTAAAACGTTCGAAGTTGCTGCAGCCACTGCGAAACATCGTTCATCAACCTTTTTAACATTTTCTTCATCCTGATTATTCACCTCTGATCATTTTATTGTCGAGACGTTAAGAACGAAAGTTCATTTTCGTTTCGCCTCCTCGCAATCACTCGGCTAATGATTAATTAGCTCTGCGGAGTTTAACATGAGTCAGCGGACTTCTTGCCTCGTGTCAACCGAGGATGTGCGTCAGCTCGGCACGTCCGCGTAGGAAAAGTGTAATTTCATTTAACTCGTCCGTTTGATCTTCATAATTAATTCAAGCGTGTAATTACGCGGTGTATAAAAGAGAGCCGACTCGCTTATTCTTTACGTTGATTCTAATATGAAGAATGTCTCACGGCTTTCGCCGTATCTCCCATCGCGTCTACGCCAGCAATTTTTCCTCCCCTTGACGATCTCGCGATTTAATCCGAAACCGTGATTTTCACGTAAATAAAATTCGTTTGTACCGCGGCGAACTCCACTCGAGGAGTCCCGTGTCCGAAACAATAAAACCTGGCGGCGTTTAAAACGCGACGCGTGCGAATAAAAATTTTTCACGTTGTGTCCCACCGGTGAAAAAGTTTCTTATAATGAAAACACTGGTAGGGCGACAATTTCTCGGTTTTATAAACCGTACGGTGTAAAGCTCGCGGACGTGATTCCCCGCGAACAACTTCCCACCGCTGTTATCACATTTTGTCATTGCCTCGTAACGTAACGCGTAAAATACGATATAAGCTTGATCGAAAAAGTTGCCAATGTTTTTTTATGAGCTCCAAGACGAGGAGGAAACACCGCGCGGAATGTATAAGGAACAACGCGCGGGAAATAAATTAGATAGATACGTTTCCGAGTCGCCGTGAGCGAGCGAGAGAGAGAGAGAGAGAGAGAGACAGTGGGAGTTCTATTTTAAGTTCGACCGGCCGATATATTTCATATCCCGATACCGACTTTTAGCTCTCGGGCTCGAAAATCTGCTGACACAGGGATGAAACGGAGCCGGGCTAGGTTATCCACGTTGTCCGAAATAAAGAGCATTATTTACCTGACCCCCGTGGTACCGTGGAATATCGTAAGTTTGTTCGCTGCCTCCGGGGATCCTCGAACGATCCTATCCGCCGATCTTATCCGTGCCGATACCGAGATTCCGCCCCGATCAAAAGGACTACGAGCTTGTGACAAATATTTATTGCTTCCACCCGAGGAGCCGAAATCATAAAAGGTGTCTTTTTAATATCGACAGGCGAGTCGCGTGTGAATTCACGGTCGAGTACAGATCGTTCAGAAATCGTTAATCGACCACCGGCGACCTCGTCCATAAATTATTCAAACAGATTACAGACTCTTAACTTCGCTCAACTCCGTTCTGCTTAAAATTCGGTATACTTTTGATAAAGTCTTCCAAATCGGATGAAATTTTGAAATTTGTTATAAGCCTTTACCTGAGTTTTTAATAATATTCGAGAGGGCATTATCGTCCGGCCAACTGGACGGAGAAAAATTGCGCGGAGACGGTCGGTGCGCAAACCTTAAATCTATCTTCAGCCGTTCCAAAGTTCCAGATGAAGTCTCGTAATTTCATTCCCCATGGTCGGCGGATAAATCGAGGAAAAGCCAGTGGCAACTGTCCGTTTTTATTCTTCCGCTGCTTGTTCGACCCACAACCAGAAAGGAAGATCGTTACTATTTTTCCTTACGTTTCCTCGACTTACGGATTCTCGTTTGCCTGCATTAGGGAAGCAATTTCTTCGAAATTATATTTATTATTATCTTGCGACGTCAACTCCTTCCAATTAAATTCGATTCCGTTGGCATCACTACATATGAAGTGCTTTTCTCGATTTCATCTGCAAGCAAGTAAGTATCGTATGCATGCACGTATGTCGGATAGGATTTCCACGAAAAAGCGGAAAGAAGCGGTTAAACGGTGGGTCGTGAGACGCGGGAGGCTCGAATTTGCATAAGGCGAGCTTGAAACGGCGTCGTAAGGTCGAAGGAAGGAAGGAAATGCCGATCGATCTCTCGCGGCGACGTTATTTTCGCGGGCCAGCCGGTTCTGAATATTCATAAAACAATGATTTGTGGATTATTGCCGCACTCTCCGCCACCCTCACCTCCCCCGGGTCACCACGTCAGATTCGTTTTCTCTTTCGCCCCGCGTTTTTATACGCACCCCGGCAATATTCGTCCACCGATCGATCGACACAGCTTTTACAACGCTTCCTGTTGAATTATTTGTCAGCGTACAAATTAGCGACGGATATTTCTTCGAATGATTTTCACAGGCATAACCGGGACGTTGATCATTTTTCACAAACAGTCCCGCGTCGAAACTTGCCGCAACCGGGTTTTCTTCGGGTCCGGTTAACCCAGTCGACCGGTTTAACAAACTGGCCGACTTTCCGAGGGACGAAAACTTCTGCCGTTCGGCGCACACCCACTCGATATCTGTCGAGCGAAATGGATTCTATCGCCGATCTCCGATGGCGAGACAACGGCTCTTACGATCAACTCCAACCGTTCATCAAAACCCAAGTGTCTTTTATCATTACGTAATCCGAAGTAATGATGTTCGAATTTCTGACCGATAGTCATGATCCTTAAAGACTCGAGTAATGATAATGTCAGAAATGGCAACGTAGAGAAATTAAATGCAATTAAATGGAGAAAATATCAAAGACGATTTTATGGATTTTTATGAAATATCAACTCATTTTATACGATACATGAGTTTCCTATAGAATTATCGACAATGTCGTACATTCGCTGTGTAATACTTCCCGTTCCGCCTGTCGCGTTTCGTCTCGCTCTAATTTAGGGCAAGACGACCAGCGTAACGTCGCATCAAGCGAACTCGTGCCTGTTTTATTCTTAGTTCACCTAGTTTATTCAAATATAGAAGGAATAGAAGGATACGGTGAATGGAAGCTTAAATATTCATGTCCAGGAGAGTTTTACTCCGACCGTGTCTGGCCCGCCTACATACAGAACTGGATGTTGAAAAATTGAACGCGTATTCGACGAACCGTTCGATTAAGAATCGCCAGAAACGCGGATCGTCTGACGCGTGATCCAACCGGTTGAAACGCGAACGAACGAAATTGCGTTTAACGCGTTAAGCGTTTAATGAATGAATTTTAAATGATCATTGACATATGCAAAGTGTCGCTTAAATTGTGAAGCACGCAACAAATGAGCTATTATTAAAATTCCATCAATAACTCAGTGAGCACTTATCGAGCAACTTTTCAATGATCATTGACATGTCCAAGGTAATCAAGCTGCTTGAAACATTCACCACGTGACAAACGAATTTCTACTGAAATTCAGTATTCGATGAATAAATTTTGCTTTCGTCGCTGCATTACGTAATTAATTTATTCCGACTCCG